AAAATTATAGGCCAATCTCTCAAATATTCTCAATGCAAGTCGAATGCAAGAGCATATCAAAAAGATCATCCATGAGATGGCCTTCATCCCAGAAAACCAAGAAGGGTCCAACATATGTAAATCTGTAATCCATCACATAAAAAGACTCAAGGACAGAAACCAAATGATCATCTTATTCGATGCTGATAAAATCCAACATCCCTTCATAATAAAAGCCATGGAGAATCTAGGAATACAGGGGACATATCTCAACATAATAAAGTCAATATACAGCAAACCCACACCCAAAACATCATGATAAATGGAGAAAAACTCAAAGCCTTTCCACTAAAATCAGGAACAGGATAAGGATTTCCACTCTATCCATCCCTGTTCAATATTGTGCTTGAAATTTTAGCTGGAGCAATAAGATAAATGAAGGAGATAAAGGGGATGCAAACTAGAAAGAGGATATGACATTTTACAAAAAGATCCCAAAACTCCACCAGAAAACTCCTAGAGCTGATAAACACATTCAGCAAATTAACGTTGGACACAAAATTAATACACAAAAGCCAGTAACCTTCCTATCACCAATAAACATACTGAGAAAGAAATCAGAGAAATAATCACATTCATAATAGCCTCAAAAAACCATAAAATATATTTGAATAAGACTTGCACAATAAAAATTTTAAGATATTGAAGAATGAAAATTGAAGTTACCAATGGATGGAAAGATCTCCCATGATTATGGATTGGTAGGATTAATTTTGTGAAAATGGCCATCCTACCAAAAGCAATCTACAAATTCAATGCAATACTCATTAAAATTCTAACACAATTCTTCATACAAATTGAAAAAGTAATCTCAAATTTCATCTGGAACCACAAAAACTCCAGAATAATAATCCTGAACAACAAAAGAACTGCTGGAGGCATTACCATCCCTGATCTCAAATTATAATACAGAGCCACAGCAGTAAAAATAGCATGACACTGGTATAAAAAGAGATTGATCAGTAGAATAGAATTGAGCACCCTGATTTAAATCCATGAATTTATAGCCATGTGATTTTTGACAAAGTGCCAAAAATACACATTGGAGAAAAAGTACGTTAAACAGATGGTGCTAGCCAGGCGTGGTGGTGCACGCCTTTAATCCCAGCACTCGGGAGGCAGAGGCAGGCAGGTCTCTATGAGTTCAAGGCCAGCCTGGTCTACATAGTGAGTTCCAGGACAGCTGGGGCTACAAGGAGACCTTGTCTCAAAAAAGCAAAACAAAACAAAACAAAAAAAATGGTGCTGATCACACTGGATAAGGGCGTGTAGAAGAATCAAACTAGATCCTTCTCATCAAGCACAAACCTCAACTCCAAATGGATCAAAGACCTCAGCATAAGACCCGATACCCTGAATCTGCGAGCCCAGGCATTAAGACCAACAACTGACAAATGGGACCTCATGAAACTAAAAAGCTTCTGTATAGCTAGAGACAGCACCATTCAAGTAAAGAGGCAACCTACAGAATGGGAAAAAATATTTGCCAACTATACTTCTGACAGAGGGTTAGTATCTAGAATATACAAAGGATTCAAAAAAAAAAACCCCAAAACCCCACCAACCCAAATAAAAATTGAAGCAAGGAACTGAACAGGCAGTTCTCAAAGGATGGAATGTCTTTAATCCCAGCACTTGGGAGGCAGAGGCAGGTGGATCTCTGTGAGATGGAGGCCAGCCTGTTCTACACAGAGTTCTAGTCATCTGGGGCTACAGGGAGACCCCTGTCTCAAAGAAACAAACAAAATGGAAATTAAAAACACTGAGATTTCATCTTACCCCAGTCAGAATGGCTAAGATCCAAAAAACAAACAAGAAAATGTAGGCAAGGATGTGGAGAAAGGGGAACTTTTTTTCAGTGCTGGTTGGAATGCAAACTGGTGAAGCCCCTATAGAATTGTAAATTATCTCACTGTTAAAATGAAATTGCCAGGAGTGATGGAGCATGTCTTTAATCCCAGCACTTGGGAGGCAGAGGCAGGTGGATCTCTGTGAGATGGAGGCCAGCCTGTTCTACACAGAGTTCTAGTCATCTGGGGCTACAGGGAGACCCGTCTCAAAGAAACAAACAAAAAAAATCAAAGAAATAGATAACAAAACTGAAATTCACAGGTAAATGGATGGATTTCTGGAGACATTCATCCTGAGCCAGGTAACCCTGACCCACAAAGACAAATATCTAATGTTCACTCTCATAAAGTGGACACTAGCTTATCCTTAGATATATGTGTTTCAATTGGAAAATCCATAGAGGTTGCAAAGCTAGTAAAGAGCCATGGGGGAGGTTTCATGGGAAAGAAGATAAGAGTGCAGAGCGATATAATGTGGAAAAGGAAATAATGGAGTAGGAAGGGTTAAATGGGGTAGGGAATGGAAGGGCAGGGCAGAGATGGGAGTATAGGGAGGGATAATTAACACTGAAGACCTCTAGAAAAATTCATATGGAAGTCTACCATTATAGAAGCTTCTTAATGTATATACATATACAATATAAAAAGAGATTAAAAGGAGTTACCCTATCCTAGGAGACACTGCCCTTACTAGACACCATAGGCTAGTAAAGTAAAAATCCAGTGCCAGGAATGAACTCCCTCTTTTATAACTGTTGACCAGGGGACCCACAGACTCTCATGCAATATTGGCCATTGTCCCTGCTTTTGCTTACTGACCAGAACTTGATTGTAAGACCCTACACTGACAATACAACATAAATGAGTTGTAGAACAAACAAGGAGAAATTAAGCTATTACTGACCTCAATGCTTCCTCTCTACTAGCTAGCTCTCACAGTGTTAGATGTTACTGGAAGAGAAAAGTAATCATCAATCATGCCCAGCTACATCAACAACTGGCCTGGCAAGATATGCCCATCAGTGCAATAGTGGCACATATGTTACTGGAATAACCAACTACTTTCTGCTTGGATTTAAGGTCTGTTTCACAAGATGGAGCCCATACCTAACACTGATATCAGACCTAGGATCCTGTGGCTAGATAGATCAAAGGACATAAGAGGAGAGCCTACTAGTACTATTCTGCTAAATGGAAATAGTATGAAACTGACTCCTAATGACTTATTACACCTATAGATTAATTCATCTCTCAACTCTCACCAGAGAATCTTCCTCATGTAGCAGATGGAGATCAACATAGAGACCTACAACTGGTCAACATACACAGTGCTTATCTCTGAATAGGACACCTATAACAAACCTCTGCCTCCCAAGGTTCAGTGATCACTGCAGAAGAAAGAGCAGCAATCTGTAAGGGCTAGAGATGGTGGATGACCACAAGGAAACTAGAGTTTTCCAGACAGCTGGGCAGTTACTCATATGAATTCATAGCAATGGTGACTGTATCCACAAGTCCCATGCAAATGCAAATCAGACAAAAATCCCAACATAGAAGTGGGAATAATCCCCACTGTAGCTGATGAACTATTGGCAACCAGTAATTTCTGAGAGAAGAGTCAGTTTTCTTTAAGAGTGTGATGATGGGTAGGTTGACCAGCCTCTACTACATGGATGCACACTGAAAGGCATTTAGGGGCACAAATGTGACTCAATAGATCTTATATAGATGTATATCATATACATATATGATATATATGATGATGAGAGAGAAATAAAGAACATGAAATCAGGTAGGTATTAGTAAGGAGTATTACAGATCAGGGAAGGGTCTAAATATGATCAAAATATACTGTATGAAATTTGCAAAACTTCAGTTTAAATAAAAGACAGAAAGAAAGAAATTTGTTTCGGGGCCTGGAGAGATAGCTCAGTGGTCAAAAGCACTGCTGCTCTTCCAAGAACCTGACTTCGGTTCCCAACAGCCATATCAGATAGCTTACGATCACCTGTAATTACAGCTCCAGGGAATTTGATGCTCTCTCCTGAACTCCAAGGGCACCCGCACATATGTGGCATAGAGAGACACAAAAAATACAAAATAAAAATAAATCTTTTTAAAAAAAAAAGTAAATTTGTTTATTCTGTTTGCAGGAGTAGGGTAAGATCTCACTGTCACCCAGGCTGGACTGGATCAATGTAGCCCAAACTGCTGATCCTTTTACTTTAGCCTCCCAAATGCTAGGGTTATAACATGTATCACCATTCTCCACTGAGTACTAAGAAATCTCAACAGACCTATGTTTTACTATAGAGTTTTTAATCTCTACCTTGAAAAAAATAAATAAACACCCAATTACTAAAGTGGTTAAATATAAACTACTCAGTGCAGTTCAATATTTAAAATGAAGCACAAATGCATATGGCATAAAATAGTTTACCATCAAAAGGCCCAGTGAATACTCTGTGGGCTTCAGTGTGTACATGTCAATCTACAAAGGATTCAATTATTATATACATCTTTAATTAATCTGCCTGGGGACAGAATAACATGTAACTGCAACTGTCTTCTTAGACTTTGAAACTGAGAAAAAAGGAAACAATTCAGTTTGAGATTTTAGTCTTTTAGCTAGGCTGGTGCTTCGTCCTGTAGTTTCTGAGCTCTCCTTGGCTTAATTTAATTAACCTTTCACTACTTCAATTTTACTATGACATACATCTGAAGTATGAATAAGAAACTAAAATATAATTGTATATTCCAATTTTACATTATAGCAAAACATGACTGTCAGGTTTATTTTACCCTTCAAGCTTATATAATATTTGCCTGTACATAATAGTATGTGTTGAACAGCCTATTTCAAATTAAAATTATATCCTAGTAATTTGCTGAATTTAGTTGCAGGAATTTGTTGGATCTTAGCTTTGAGCTGTATTAATTATGATTAATATTATTTTATTTTAAAGGTTTTGAGGATTCATTTTATGTTATTCTAGAAGAAAAAAAGAAATAGTATTTTAGTTTATTCAAGGGAGTAAACTGAACTTCAGGAACTGCTTAACTTTAAATTCCTAGCTTTGGTTCATTATGAATTCACACAATTGTTCTTACCTTTACACCTTGAATGAGACCATTCATGAGGAATGTGTGCTGAGGAAATGTTTCATGTAGAACCTATAAAAGCAAACAAACATCAAAACATATTCAAACATAAATTAAAGGTAAAGATTTCTATCTCTATTAATGGAAGGCTACACAAATAAGATGACCTTAATAAAAATGATGGAATATTTTTTAAACCTTGAAGACATAAAAAAGGAGCAATATAGCCAGGTGTGGTAGTGCACGCCTGTAGGCCCAGCACATGGGAGGCAGAGGCAGGCCGATCTCTGTGAGTTCAAGGCCAGCCTGATCTACATAGTGAGTTCCAGGACAGCTGGGGCTACAGGAAGACCCTGCTTCAAAAGGACCAAAAAAAAAAAAAAAAAAAAAAAAAAAAAAGAAAAAGGAGTAATAATAGCAAGGTCTGGCACTCATAGGTGCTTTTGTCATGAATCATTTGCAGTCGAAGAGGTAGCCAATAAAGGATGTATTTTTGCTACAACAACTTTATCTGGCTACCCCCAAATGGTAACAGAAACCCAGGGATAGACCCAGGTTCATCACTAGAAGGTAGTCCAGAAACACCTCAAGTCTTAGAATGTGTATTATAGTGATCCTAGTCTAGCCAGTAGAAAACTCTAAAACTGCTTTTGAATAAGCATATTCCCCATACACAAAAAGAGAAGACACTATGAAAAAGAAACAAACACCTAAAGCCTGATTTTAAAAAATGATCCAAGGCCTAGAAATGGCTTAGCAGTTAAGAGCACTAGATGTTCTTTCAGAAGGCCCAAGTTCAGTTCCCAACACCCATGTGGGGCAGCTCCTGTCTGTAACTCCACTTCAGGGAATCTAATGTCCTCCTCTGGACTCTGTGGGCACCTACAGGCATGGGCAAGTGCACACACCCATACAGACACACACACGCACCCTACTAAAAAAAAAAAGTGATCCCTCAGGGCTGCACAGATGGCTCAGCGGTTAAGAACAGTGGTTGTTCTTGCAGAAGACCTGGGTTTGAATCCCAGCACCCACATGGCAGCTAATAACTCTCTGTAACTCCAGTTCCAGGGGATCCGATGGCCTCTTCTGTCCTCCACAGGCATTGCACAACACAGGTACCCTTACCTACATGCAGGCAACACACTCATTCACATAAAATAAAAATAACAAAATATTTTTTTAAAAAGTGATCCAGAAAAAAGTCAACTTGTAATGCTAATTACTCTTGCCTTTACTTCTCCTTCACATCTATTTACGATTCAAGGACTTTCTTTTCCCCCTACAGATAAGAGTTATGCAATTTGGGAGTCTTTTAGGTAGACCCACTGAAAGGGGTGCTCCAATTGCCTCCCCCTGTGTCCCTGTTCAGAATGGAAGAACCCAGAGCAGTCTGCATCCCAATTCCCTACTGGGAATTTGGGTAACCTCTTCAGAGGATGGTGTGATAAGAATAGGAGAGGTAGGAATTCGCTAGGCAGCTAGGGTAAAAAGACCCCAAAGAAAAGTAGCCAGTTTCTTGGCTAAAACTCACAATGTCCTTGGGCCTCTTAGGAACATACTCCGTTCCAAAGGCCAAAAATGTCGAAAATATTTGGGAGCTTTTATCTAATCCTTAAAAGATTTTAGGGTTACCTCTTCAGAGGGAAGAATGTTAAGAGTAGCCAAAAGCCCCATAAAAAGAATAAATAAAGAAATCAAAGAAGAAAGAGTACATGAAGTTAACAGAAAAAAAGGGATAGGGAGATATGGGTGGAGTTGGAGGGGAGGGAGTGGGCATGGATTTGATCAAAACACCTTATATGCATATCGGAAATTCTTAATAAGTTATTTATTTTTTAAAAAGTGATCCAAATTATCAAAGAGGCACCTCATCAAAATCAACATGGGATAGCAAATAAGCATATGAAAGGATGCAACATCATATCACTAGAAAACACACATCAAAATAAAAAAATATTACACTATTAGAACTGCCAACAAAAAAATACTGATGACACTGAACACAAATGAGGACGTGGGCAACAGAAACCCTCATTCACTGCTAGTGGGAACAGAAAATAGTCCAGTCACTTTGGTAGTTTATTACAAAACTAAATTTATATTTAGCACATGAGCCAATTCCTTGGTGTTTATGTAAAGGAGTTCAGAACATGTCTACAGAAAAACTGGTCCAGGGATATTTACAGCAGCTTTAGGGAAATAAGGACTTAAGCAACACTTGGGATAATTTGGAAGAGTCTGGCTGGAGTCTACCCTCAACCAAAAAGCTTGCCTGAGACTAAGTTAAAAAGCAGTGGACTAATTTCTCTGGTGGAAGAAATTTCAAGACAGCCTAATGTAGAAATGGTGGTGTGGCTATTAATGGTGAATATTATGCAGATCTACAGTGAAAAAGAGCAAAAAGGGCAGAAAGAAAGACAGTTGGGATTGAAAAAGAGCACTAGGAAGATAAATGTTGGAGCCTTGTCTGTGCTGGAGAGGATCCTTTTGATAAGGAGATTAAAGTGATTAAGGAGGGGGCCAGAGATTCAAACTTTAAAAATGGAGAAAGTGCCTCCAGAGCAAGACCACACCCAGTTAAGCCTCCAACTTGTGAAAAGAAAATGCTGCAGGGACCACTGAAGAGAAAAGCTTCTAATATGGATAAAGTAGGCTGAGGTCCATCAAAAACTTGCAGTCAAACTTGGCAGTGTCATTCACCTAGTGCTGGCTTTAGAGGTATGAAAGATGTAAGAGTGAAGGGGTCATCAGTTCTTCCTCCATCATTTCAGATAGCAGCTGAGGCAAGGTAGCATGCAGCAGGGGTACCCCTGCATTAAGAAGGCCCTGGTTGGCAATGGAGACCCCAAGAAGATGTTCATGCCAGAGCTGTGAGGCATCTGCCAAGAAGAACTGCATACGGAAAGTGATACCAGCCCAAGAGAGATGTCTCCATTCCTCCCTTTTGGAATGGTAATACATATTTGGTTCCACTGTATATTGGGAGTATGTAATTTCTCTTTTGATTTTACAGAAGATTACAATTGAGATATTTCCTTGAGTCTCAGAAGAGACATTGGACTGCGGACTTTTGAATAGTATTGATACTGGTAATGACTATGGGGACTTTTAAGGTTGGACTAAATTCATTTTGCATTTTATGTGGTCATGAGCCTATGGGGGCCAGAGGGTGGAATGTGGTGGTTTGAATGAGAATGTCCCCCACAGGCTCAAAGTATTTGGACATTTTGTCCTCAGATGGTGGTGCTGTTTTGGGAGGTCTTAGAAGGTGTGGCTATCCTGGAGGAAGCACATCACTGTGGGTGGGCTTAGAGAGTTCTTAGGACTTGCCAGATCTCCAGTTTCTCTCTTGCTTCCTATCCCCGCTTGATGATATGATGGATTAATTTCTGCTGCTCCTGCTCCAGCCACCTCCAGCCACCATGCCTCCCCACCATGATGGGCTATGATTCCCCTGGAACCATAAGCTCAAATAAACTCTTCCTCTTATTAAAAACACAAAAGTGACAAAAACATTACTAATGGAAGTAAATGCCAAGCTAAGCTCATTGCATCTGTTTGATTAGTGCTGTGTACATTTAGAATAGTCAGCTATACAAGAGTAAACAAAGATTTAACAAGTAATATTGATCAATTAACTAGTGGGTGGTTACTTAATTGACTTTAATATTTATCATGTACATAAATAGGCCCATTCTGGGAATATTATTCAAAAAAACCAACAGAAAACTACCAAAACCAACAAGTCAGTCTGGAGCATCTTGTGACTCTAGAAAGCAAGACTCAATGCACATTCTAGTTAGAATGTTTACTTTCTTTTCATGTAAAGAGTAAAACATCCAATAAAGTGTCTATATAATATGACAAAAATGTCCAGTATTCAGTGCTATCCCATGCCATCCTGTCACTGTAACTCCTCAAAAGACACAATAATTAAGAAGACAAGAAAGTCAAAAGAGCAAGTAAGGGGCAGACAAGACAAAATACATGCTTGCCAAATGAAGGAATGAATGAGCACATTGTCTTGAGAATCACTTGAGAAGAAAGGATAAGAGAATTGAATGCCACAAGAAAGTACTTAAAAAGTAATCTTTGGGTTTTTCAAATCATCACATGAAAGGGATAAGTGGGTAGGGAATACTAAATTCTTGAATCTCTACAAAGGCTTCAAGATCAGCTTGAGAAATAAATTCTAGAAATTGCAAGAAATGATGACTGGAGATGGCTCAATGGTTAAGAATGCATACTGTTTTTATAGAGTTCAATTCCCAGAACCCACATCAGGCAGCTCACAACCACTTATAAATCCAACTCCAAGGAGCTCCAATGCCTTTGGCCTGCAAAACACTTGCATTCATGTGCACATACCCACACACTCTACACACATATAATTAATGATAAAAAATAAATCTTAAGCCAGGCACAGAGACACATGCCTTTAATCCCAGCACTTGGGAGGGGGGCAAGGGGGGAAGGCAGGTGGATCTCTATGAGATTGAGACCAGCCTGGTGGTCCATACAGCTAGTTCCAGGTCAGCCAGGGCTACAGGGAGAACCCGTTTCAAAATAATAATTAATAATAATAATTGTCCAAAAGAAATTCTTGTATCTAAGAATATTAAGTATACTTTATTAAAATAACTACTTGATTTAAATGTGCCTGAAGGCATTAGTTTAATCAGATTATTTAGAGTTTCTATGAGATTGAGACCAGCCTGGTGGTCCATACAGCTAGTTCCAGGTCAGCCAGGGCTACAGGGAGAACCCGTTTCAAAATAATAATTAATAATAATAATTGTCCAAAAGAAATTCTTGTATCTAAGAATATTAAGTATACTTTATTAAAATAACTACTTGATTTAAATGTGCCTGAAGGCATTAGTTTAATCAGATTATTTAGAGTAAAAAAACATAAAGATCAGGA